TCTGGAAATCTGACAACAGAAGTGCTACTTAACAGAAATCTTCCATCCATTCAGCAGACTTACTCCCAGGAAATATCCTGAGGTTTGCTACCTCTGGGAGATAATTTCTGCCAGCCAGCTGAACGGATGATGCTCAACATCTTTCTAATGAGACTCCAGTACTGCATAAATGGTTTCCCCACAAGTCTGTATACCCTTGTTTGCACAAAGTCTGAGAAGTCTGCCCAAACATTCCAAAGCTGGAAATGTCACCAACAGTACTCTGTGCTGCTTTCAGTTGCAGAGATTTTTACTCCAGTTGATATTTCAGCCTCCCTCAAACCTTGCACAAGTGCAATGTGGTATATAGGCTCGCTTTTCTCTCTCAGCAGTCAAACAGGAAAAGAAAATTCATAAGAGAAAGCCTAGCCTAGCAACCAGAAAGATGCTGATGAATACTAGCAGTCCTTCCAGATCCCTCTTACTGCCAAAGGCCACTTGCTCTGGCTGGAGCACAGCCCTGACCTCTCTCCATGGGGAGCGGGGCCTCTGCAAGCAGTGTGCACAGCCCAGCCAGCCCCAGGCCTACCTGCCAGCAGTGCTGCTGAAGCAGCCTGGGAGAGCTGAGCACCGCTCTGCTCCTAGCAGCTTGTCTAGCTGGATGCTAGGCAAAGAAATCCCGATGCTACACAGTGGAATGATGTAGATCTGTACAATCTTTACTATGAAGATCCTCTGGCCACATCTTCAATTCTGTTTCTACCTTTGCTAGCTTGAGTCCACCAGGTTCTAACACAATTCCTCAAAGAACACATTTTAAGTACTTTCCAGCTGCATAGAAACATTAATGGTGGAAAAGAGCTCTAAGGTCATTTAGTCCAACCCATACACCTACCACCAATATTGCCCACTAACCACGTCCCTCTGTGCCACATCTCCATGGCTCTTGAATACCTCCAAGGACAGTGACTCCAACAGATCCCTGGGCATAACAGAGACAAAATCACAGCTCCTCCAGGACTTGGAAGTCTTCTTGCAACCACTAGGCTTCCCTCTAGCAGCTTCCCTTGCTGCATGCCACAGCCAGTGAGCAGCACAGGCCAGAATGCTGCAGGTTCCCACAGGGCTCAGCCTCAGGAGACCAGAGCAATGCAGCACTGCGTGCATGCTGTGCCTGCGCCTGCCACAGCTGTCATCCTAACCACAACAGAAACCTCAGATAGCCTGGCTGTCATCAACAAACAGAATTCAAAGCAAGGGGGCCCATGGCTGACCAGAATTTTCTGTGGCCATTGATTTGAAATACTGTATTATCAGAACGTACTTTGGAAGCATGACACTACCCAGGTATCCTCTTGAAGATGAAGTATCAGACAGACCTCTTGGAGAGGACTTTATTTGTTCTTTAAACTTATGCAGGATTTCTGACCAAAAAAATCTTGTCACCTCTTCACTAAGAAGAACAGCTGTCCTGTGAATAGATTTTCATTGAACTTTACTTTACAATGAAACAATAGCTTTTCTCCTTGAATTAGACATTTTATCTATCAAAATATTGAACACTTCTCGTTAGATTAAGAATTTATTTTTAATGGTGGAGAAAAAAAAATTAACTGAAAAGTTCAAATTTGAAGAGTTAAGTATAAAAAGGGAGGCTATAAAAAAGAAGGGAACAGACTTTTTAGGAGGATCTGTTGTGACAGGACAAGGAGAAATGGTTTCAAATTAAAAGAGAGATTTAGATTGGATGTGAGGAAGAAGTTTTTTTGCAATAACGTGGTGAGGCACTGGCACAGGTTGCCCAGAGAGGTGGGGGATGCCCAGTCCTTGCAGACATTCAAGCTCAGGCTGGAGTGGGCTCTGAGCACCTGATGGAGCTGTAGGTGTCCCTGTTCACTGCAGAGGAGCTGGGCTAAATGACCTTCTATGGTCCCTTTCTACTCTAGTAATTCTATAAATTCTGTGAGTCAAGCATTCACTGCTTCTGTAGACCTAAACTTCAGCATACATTTTACAATCATGTCACTACGATGTTTTCCTTTTGACACAAGTAGATCTTCCTCTCAAACCCTGCTCTTAAAGTTGTTCTGTGGTTTTGGTTCTCCAATGCAAAACTTTCTTCTTTCATTAACTATACTAAACTCATGAGGTTTGCAGTCTCTTTAATATGCCTTTTTAAAATAAAGACAGAAGTTTGTGTTGGAGCAGCAGCAGATAAAACGGGTTAGAAATGCAGCTGCACCAATCTGAACAAGGAAGAAATAAAAATGTTTCAAAAATAATAATAATTATACTGAACTCGCCATCAAGATAGGACTGTAAATCATGGTTTAGCTGCTCTTATTGATCCAACACAAATACTAGGAGCAAGCTGAGATGTGCAGGGGAGGGAAAAAAAACTGACTGTGGTATGTTTTAGATCTCCTGAGTCATCTTTCCTGGCACAGGGCAGAGTGAGTCAACGCCACTGTGGAGGAAGCAAGGAGATGGAGGTGGGCTGAGCTGGCTCTGCACTGGCTACGTCTCATTAAGAGTAATTTGAAAAGGGATTCATCAAGGCTAAATCTTTGATGCCATGCTACAACAGAAGTCATTTCATCTGCAGACAGCATCATCAGCTCTGTACTTGCTGGAATACCGAGCCCTTTCTTCTGCCTAAATGCATGGTACAAAGTGCCAAAGTTTTACAGCTCCAAAATTGCCTTTGAGGGCAACTGTGTAATGCTTTACAAGACTTCAATTAAAAGCAGACCATACAATGAATGTTCATAATTTGAGGTAAAGATGTAGCACTGCAACTCTTCCATACACCCAAAAGAGTGAAAAGCATGACTGAGGCACAACTGCACTAGAGAAAACATTATTTGATCAACTAAGATCCAGATACTAAATTATTTGAATCTGCACTGACTCACGTTTTGCAGTAAGGATAGGTAACATCAATTGTGAACGATAGTTGCTCTTTTAAGTGAACTAGAAAGAAAATGCTAGCATGCTCACTACACGTGGAAATGTCTATTTCTAGTTACACAAAAAAGGAACTTCACATACATGCAACACTCTGCGAGTCCCCTGAAATATACTTCCAATACCCCCTTCAGCACATCTCTGATGGAAGGCTCTTTGTTATTCCTCCAAAATAGGCATTTTGCTCATGAGCAGTGAAGATGGCACAGAACCCCAAAACCTGGCTCAGAGAGCTCTTCACACAGCACAGCCCAGTAAGGGTAAACTTGGAACCCAGGAGCAATTCAGTGACAGCTGTATGTGCCGTTTTCTACATGACTCGCCTTGCTTCAGCCCTACATTGGTGTGCTTTTCACTGCTCCATTTTGAAACCTACTATCAGGCTCTATGGGGTACACGTGACCTCAGTGTATTAACAAACAAGGATCAGCAATATTCTTGTTCACCCTTTTTTCCTTCCTCACCTATTACAGTAAAGGGATTAGAAACACAGAGACCTAGCACTGCAAGAGCAGTCTCTCCATCACAAAATAAATTTTCTCATTCATTTTCCACACCTTGTCCTATTTTGCCTCCATTTTGGAGCTTGAAAAGCAAATTAGCATACCAAGTTTAAGGCTGACAGCAAGTCAAACATAGAGTACTGAGTAGATCACTGACATTAAAGACATGCATAATGAGGAAACTTGCCACTGTATCAGTTTTACGAAATACAGTATAGGGTGTCAACATCAAGATAAATCACAGCACACAAACATTTCTTTGTAATGAAGTCTCTTGTAAATTAAAATCCCTGTAAATGTTAATGGTAAGGCATTAAAAGCCACAACATGATGTATTATCTCTAGCTAATTGTGTAAAATTGTATTATGTGTAGCTACTTGCACAGAAAGCAATTATAGAAGTGATATTCAAGACAAACTTCAAATAACTGAGGTAAATTCTCTTCCATCTGCTTTGTTCTTGTCAAATATAAAAAGGACAAGTAGATAGGCCTATGCCCTGTATTTTGAAATTTCAAGGTGCAATTCTGTGCCCCCATTTGGATAGAAGACACAGCGCAAAACACACAGTACACAGCACACACAGCCTGCTGTTAAGGGGCACTGTGGATAGCTGTGCCCTTGCTGTACTCTCACAACAGTGATTCATGCCAAGCAACAGAATGGCATCACAGTAATAAAGATAGCTACTGCCCAGTATGCAGACAGATTGCCCAGTATGCATACAGATTTCTCTTTGTGTAAGTCCTCTTTGATCCTTGCAGTTCTGTGAGAAACAACTTTCTAAAACATTACTTTAAAAATATACAAAGGCAAACTAGTTTCCACTGAATCCAGAGTTGAGACATACTTGAAGGACAAACTGTTTACTTCGTAAGCTTCAGCTGAGGAGGGCCCAGCTCTTGCTTACAGGAAGACAAACACAAAACAAAGTACTTACTTCACAAAACATGTTTCCAGTGAAAGGTTGCAACCCCCAACTCACTGAGGCTTCAACCATTAGGACTCTGAAGGAGTTACAGACCACTGACAGTTTTCACTACCTGTTTCAGGACAACTAGTTTAACAAACTGGGAAAACCTGCAGCACAGGTATTCCTCCCCCAGTAACCATCTCCAACTGTCAAACACAACATTAGAAAGTATAAATCACCCAGTCGGATTCCTGAAATGAATGGATCAGGATCACAAATCACATGCTACGCTGGAATTAAAAAATTCAACTCCATTTACTGAAACAGACCTATACTGAGCCTTATCATCAAAAGCAGGTACCTAAAAGAGAAGACATGTAATAGCAACATAGCTGAAATAATCTTGCAACATCATATAGAAGCAAAGGTACTTGTGTCAAAGTAGAACTGGCACAGTTTCATTCTTGTAAAATACAATAAAGATTAATCTGAGATATTTACTTGTCCAGAAGATGAACAAAGCAGAATCAGCGAAACTCAAGCAGTAAAGCTTCATGGCTTCCACTGGGTTAAAAGCACATCTGCTTTTCCAAAACACAGCCTGCATAACAAAGCAAAAACACGTTGGCTTCCCTTACCTTCTGCAAAAGGTTCCCATTCATAAAATCGTCCCATAAATGGCTTGTTATTGTATGATGCACACTGCACTTCTCTGATACTTCTACTGCTTTCAGGACACGTCTGTTAAATAGAGAACACAGTTGCATTATAATCAAGAGCAATATTATTATTGGTTTCTTATTTGCTCACTTTAGAAGGTCAGTGAAGGCTTTGTCAAATTCTAATCCATATTAACATCAGAAGACTCCTTTTCTTTAAAACAGATAGCAACACTGTGCTTTTAAGTGCTTGTAAAAAAACAAAAATGTTAATGTTATGGGGCTAAAGGAGTAACAATTCTGCAAAACAATCAAATTCTTCATTGAGTTGTCATTCCACTCAATAAAAACAATACTTCAAGATGAATTCAATAAACTAGATCTGAATCATTTCCTTTCCACAACAGCTTCCCATTTCTCATTATTTATTTTTGGGCTCAGATTCAACACAGAGCACTGAACATACATGCTTCCATAACTTACTAAAAGCTGGGCACGCCACTTTCTTATTCTCATCCTATGTTACAAAACAATATTACTAGTTTTTAAAAAATTATTACTATTTCCATGTGCTACTATGACAACCATTGCCTTTCTCTGTATTTTAACTTGTGCCTTCAAACGCTAGCTCCACAATGCTTGCAGCAACGAGAACGTTTTGTGTAAGCACACATATGCGCACACAGTGAGGCAGGGCAAGCTGAAGGCATAAGAAACAACTTTTATTAGGTCACCTGCAATGCAAGCCTTGGCAGAAAAACCTTGTTCAGATCTGAAGCAAATTCCAAAAGTAAATATAAGTTAAATACTTAATTATTTTGTTATGCTTTTGTCCTTGAAGTACAGCAGTTACAGCAAATGACTGCTTGGTGTGTGGGCACACAAAGGGGAGCAAGATCTCTAGAAAACAGGGGTTTACTTAGAGAAGTTCTGTGCTTGGAGAAAAAAGGCAAACTTTGGTCACATGCATTTTTACAGGTAAACATTAGATGATCCAGATGCCTATTAAAAACATGACTCACAAGCAACAGAAATCATAGGAAGAAATAGAACAGAGCAGCAGAATAATATTTTCTATAGGCCACAAAATGCAATGCAAAACTAGATACACAACTTCAAAAAGCAAAACAGATAAGTAAGAAAAGAATCAGTAATAAAGCAGATCAGATCTCTTAGGTCTGTTATGGGGGACAGATGGGACACCTTTGCAGTGCAAGCCAATACAAAGAGGTCCCAGAGGAAGTTCTCCCCAGAGGAGATCTGGTTTTGTATCCACCACTCATATATGAAGACATTTGTTGTTGGATCAGTGAGAGCAAAGCCAAGACTTTTCAAGTGGGCTATAAACTGAACCGAAGTCATGGCTGTGGGGAGTTTCACTGACTGCTTTATCTTCTAGTAGAATCACTATAATAAGTCTTCAGGAATAAACACTGCTTCTGGCCAAACAGCCATCTGTGCTTAGTTCATCCACCCTTCTAAGGTCTCCAACTACATGCAAATACAGTCATCCTCAACAAGCCTTCAAAAAAAACAAGCAAACTTTAAAAAGTTTCACTGAAAATCGGACTTTGAAAGGACGGGACCAACAGTTCGTTTCTACTGCATAATACAGAAATCAAAGCAATATATCTGGAATAAGACATTTGTGACACAGCAATGCCACAAGATTAATTCAACCACAATAAACAAACATCAAGACTTAGAATCTTACATTTTCTTCTGAAAACCAATCATATCACGTGTCCTAAAAGAGGACGAGAACCTGAACTGGCATAAATTAAGGTCCTTACATTAAATTAGAGCAGAACAAAGTCAGTTTGCACCAGCAAAGAAAGCAGCCTGAAGGGTTTCTTTTTGGTACACATTTCCCTTTTCTTTTTCTTTTTCTTTTTTTTTTTTTTTTTTGGCTCATGTGTTCTGATAATCTGTTGCAAAGTTTTGTTGTTTCTTGTTTCTCCCTTTCTGAGCCTTGAGCTCATGCTCTTGTGTACCAGTATTTCTGGCTCATAAACCATTTCCTGTGCACCCCGTTCATACCAACTGCAGACAATGTAAGAATAAAAAAGATCAAAATATTCATTGCAGTTGCCAAAAAACAGTGCTCCCCTCCTCTCCTCTAAGATCATTTTTCTATAGCTGCAGTTTCTGCTTTTAAACTTACTGAAAAGTTGCCCACAGGACAGAGGCCCCATTGCTTTAAAGCAGGACAAAGGACTGACTAGAACACCAAACACACTGCATGGATCAAGCCTAAGCCAGATGAAGAAAAGTCTAACTCTGTAACATCCCTGCTACTAAGAGAAGGCTCCAGGGAGACCTGACAGCGGCCTTTCAGTGTCTGAAGGAGGGCTATGAAAAAGAATGGGACAGACCCTTTAGTGGGGTCTGCTGTGACAGGACAAGGGGAAATGGTTTCAAACTAAAAGAGGAGAGACTTAGATTCAATGTAAGGAAGAAGTTTTTCTTACAGTAAGAGTGGTGAGGCACTGGAACAGGTTGGCCAGAGAGGTGGTGGATGCCCCATCCATTCGAGGTCAGGCTGGACCAGGTTCTGAGCACCTGGATCAAGCCCTAAATGTCTCTGTTAATGCCGTGGCAGTGGACTAGATGGCCTTTAAGAGTCCCTTCCAACTCAAATGGTTCTATGATATTTTAACAGGTAGGGGAAAAAAAACAAAAAAGTAACAGTGCTGTAAATCTGGTATTTGCCTTCAGCTAAGTGCTACCAAAATGCCAGGCATTTTCACACATCACAGGAGGCTTTCAGACCTTCCACTACCACGTTCTGTTGTGACTACTTCAATGCCTCAGCCAACTTTCCTTGTACTTTCAGATCATGAAATTGTAACAGCAGCAGCACAGCACTGTGCCAAAGGAGCAGGGAGTGTTTAGGGTAGAATATTTTAGAATTACTCCTTTCTGTTTGGAAACTTTAAGCCAAACTTCTTGAAATGCTCTGAAGGAGTTACACGTATCTATGTCTCATTATCATCTGAGATACACAGGCATGAAAGTACTCCGGGGGACAGCAACACACAGTATTTCTGTTTGCCAGGAAGCATCAGTTTTCTTTAAATTAGCTGTTAGTAAAACTAAGACTTAAAGCAAAGAAACTAGCCTACCCTACTTGGGAAAACATTCGAAAAACACAAGTTTTCAACAAATCTTTGATGCTTCCCCGAATTAACAAAGTATCGGCAATGTATCAGAAAACTGTTGCTCTGCCAGCTGATGTGTGCTCACCCTGCACCATGCCTGCCATTAGCAAATTGCTTCAAGGCTGCACTGAGATATTGCACGTTTGAAAAGAATAAAAGGGTCATTCTGATACCAAAGCCACCTTTAAAGGCAATTAAGACACTGACTAACATTTTTGGCACTGTTGCATTTCTACAGCCTACAGTGAGTGGCCAACTCATTTTCCAAAGCCCACAGTCCTTCTGGGTTCTCCAGGCCTAAGCATAATTTGTAATTAATATTTTCTACGTGTATATTACTATATATTAAATTAAGTCTAAGTAAGCTAGTTACACTCAGTTTTGTCCTCCTGCAGTAGTTCTAGCTGATCTTATTAATCCTTTTCCATTCCAAAGGATAAACACACTTTCAAAGGAAAACACTTCACATACTTGTTTCTGAAACACTGAAAGGCAGCAATAGGTTCATTTAAACAACTGGAGACTGTTTTTCTTCCCCCCAAAAGTTCTAATTCTTAAAAATTATAACAGAACATGAATGCAACTGCCTGCCAATAAAAACAATAAATAAGGTATACTAAGTATGTCTAGGTATCTTTGGCACAAAATACCTGATGATTTTTTTCTTCTTAAGATGGAATTAATGTTTGTAAAATCAAAAACAGGCAAGAAACTTAAAAATGTAAAATTTTTAAATTTATGTGAAGAACAGCATTTCAATAAAAATAGTGCTGGCCAGATCTAGTTGCAGTCCATGACTGCAGACAGTACACTATAAAAGTCTGGTTTTACACGCAATGAAAATTAACATCTGTGAATGCAGCAGTATCTGGACAAGTTTAGGAAGAATCAGCACCTATAATGCTTCAATCCTGGCACTGCATCAAGCACTGCATTTGCTCCTACACGTCTGCTGCAGTGGAAATTATGCTTAGTTTTGGGGATCACCATAAACTATTAACTTCTTGCTAACCAGAGAGAATCTTTAAAACAAAGTCTAAGGGAGCAATCGCTACAGTAACATTTTTCTCTCAGTGCTTTCAGGGGCCTGCCTGTCATGGGCAGAAAAGATAACAAAATAATAATAATCCAATTTTGTCTCCTAAGTAAGAGATGGGAAAACTGATTAATCAAACAAATTATTAATCAAACAAGACAGTACCACTTGAAACACCTCCACACAGATTTGTGATACTGACTTCTGAAATTACTGCTGACTGTTTCAGTGTGCCCAATTTATACAAGTAGCATCTACTGCACAGTGCATCTGAGACTATCTACCAGCTGACCTCAACAAATGGCATTCCTTCTTTGGCTTCTCAGGACAAATTAACAGCCAGGAAAAGTGGTTTTTTTCCTGCTAGAAGTATACCAGATCCAGGAAAAACAGAACCTTCCCCAGTCACCATGGCATTCCCTCCCCATATTAAAAAAAAACAAGGAACACTGCATGTCTGTAGTTGTGGAAGGTAGCTGACTTTGCTGACTCCCTGATCCCTGCCCCAGTAATCCCACTCCCTAAAGGCTTTTTTTCAATTTCACATCCACTGTTCCATAAAGTTTTGTTGGAGCAGTAATGTAACCAAAGTTGACAATAATATTTCAATTAACTCTCTAGAAAAATGTAACAGCAAGAGCCCCAGTCAGTCTGCAGCTCTCTCTTGCAGGTCATGCTGTTAAACTGATGGTCCCCAACACTTCTGGCTGTGGGGTCATCTCCCACCTGCTTACATGTCAACACAGCACTGTAGCAAAAGCCTCTTCAAAATCTAGCTGTTCTCTCTTCAGCTGCAGTGGGCTAATCCACCAAAGTCAAACACTGTCAAAATATCTACAGTTTCTCTGGCATCATCTCATGTTATTAATCCACCAGGTGTCTTTC